CCTCTTAATTCTCTCCCTTAATTCTCTCTCTTTAATTCTCTCCCTCTAATTCTTCCCTCTTAGATTCTCTCCCTTCTTAATTCTTCTCTTCTCTCTCTTCTCTCTTCTCATCTCTCTCTCTCTCTCTCTCTTCTCTCTCTTTCTCTCTCTTCTTCTCTCTTCATCATTCCCCATCCTTACACCCCTTTTTCTTGAGGCCTTCATCCCCACACCCAAAATATTCCATACTCGTAAATATTCCTCCTTGTAAGGACAGACAAGGTAATAGTAGCTCGATAGTACAGACAGGGCAACAGACTGACTGACTGACTGACTGACTGAGACTAACGACTGACTGACTGAACTGGAACACTGACTGGACTGATCTGACTGACTGACTGACTGACTGACTTGACTGACTGACTGACTGACTGACTGACTGACTGACTGACTGATCTGTGACGACTGAATGACCCGACCTGACTGACCTGACCGACCGACCGACCGACGACCGACCGAACCGACCGACCGACCCGACCGACCGAACTCCGACCGACCCTGACCGACCGACCGACCTGACCCGACCGACGACCGACCGAAACCGACCCAGACCAACCAACCAACCAAAACCAACCAACCAACCGACCGACGACCGACTGACTGACCAACCGACCGACCGACTGACCGACCGGAACCCCCCCGACCCCGACGCCTAACAAACATGACCAAACAGACAGACGAACAGACAGACTGACAGGAAACAACACAAAACAGATACACCACCACACGTCTCACACAAACACAGATGCAAAAAGACGCACCACCAATACCATCTTCCTCGTTCCTTTTCCCCAGTATCGGCTGACACTGCTTTTCAGCCGAGGAAACTGTCAATCAATGCTGAGGGGGTGGTGGGGGTGGGGGTGGGGTGGGGTTTGGATGGATGGGGGGGGGTGAGTTAAGTGAGTGCGGCTCTGGTCGTGAGGAGTGTGCGTGATGTGTTGTGGAGGGATGGAGTAGGGTGGATGGCGTGAGGTATGTGAAGGGAGGGAAGGAGGGGAGGAGAGGGGAAGAGAGGGGAATAAAGAGAGGGGGAAGAAGGGAAGGAGAGGGGGGGGATATGGACGAGAGGAGGAGGAGGGAGGCTAGCAGGATGAATGAGACGGTAGAAGGAGAGGAACGACGAATGAGGAGGGACGCAGAGAGGAGGGAGGATGGAGATGGAGAGGAGGAGGAGGAGGAGAGGAGGGAGGAGGAGGAGGAGAGGAAGAGGAAGGAGGGGAGAGGAGGAGGAAGAGGAAGAGTAGGACGAAGAGGGAAAAAAAAGGGGCGAGAGAGGAGATTGAAAAGGGGGGTAGGAAAGAGGAGGGGGGAATGTAAGAGAGGAGGAGGAGGGAGGAGGAGGAGGATGTGGATATGGAGAGGTTAGAAGTGGAGAGGTTAGAAGTGGAGGAGAGAGAGAGAGAGAGAGAGATGAGAGAGATGAGAGAGAGAGGAGAGAGAGAGAGAAGAGAGAGAGAGAGAGAGAGAGAGAGAGAGAGAGAGCTAGAGAAGAGAGAGAGAGGAGAGACCGGCCTGTGTGGTATTAGGATGGAGTAGGAAAAATGAGATATACAAATAGAAAATAGAGAAAGAAAAAAAAAACATATAGGGAGCGAAAAGAAAGGGGGAAAAGACACAAAAAATGAGAAAGCGGAAAAAAAAAAAAAAATAAGATGAGAACGAAAGTCTCTAGTAAAAAAATGGATGAAAAAAAGTAAAAGAGCGATAGAAAAAAAAAGATGACAGAAAAGAAAAGAAAACAAAAAAGAGAGAGAGAACGAAAGAAAGAAAATAAAAATAAATGAAGAAAGAGTTCCAAAAGAGAGAAGAAGAGAGAGAGAGAGGAGAGAGACGAGAGAGAGAGGATGAGAGAGAGAGAGAGAGAGGATGAGAGAGAGAGAGAGAGAGGAGAGAGAGAGAGAGAGAGAGAGAGAGAGAGAGAGACGGCGTGGGTATTAGGATGGAAGAGGAAAAATGAGATATACAAATAGAAAATAGAGAGAGAAAAAAAGAAATATAGGAGCGAAAAGAAAGGGAAAGAGACACAAAAAGAGAAAGCGAAAAAGGAAAAAAAGAGAACGAAATCTCTAGTAAGACAGGAGACAAAAAGAGGAGAATAATAAAAAGAAAAAAAAATGACAGAAAAGAAAACAAAACAAAAAAGAGAGAACGAAAGAAAGAAAATAAAAACAAATGAAAGAGTTCCAAACAGAAAAAAAAAACGAAAAGAGACGAAATCTCTAGTAAAAAAAGGAGAAAAAAAAAAAAGTAAAAAAAAAAAAAAAAGATGACAGAAAAGAAAAGAAAACAAAAGAGAGAGAGAGAACAAAAGAAAGAAAATAAAAATAAATGACGAAAGAGTTCCAAACAGAAAAAAACAACGAAAAGAGACCCTTCCGCGCGAGCATGCCTCTCGGCTCCCAAAATTCGGGAACGCGACTTCAACGAACGACAACAAGACCACGAAGGAAGATGAAATATCAAAAACAAAAATATATATTATTAAATAACAATTAAAACCAAATACATAGAAATAAAACAAAATACAATAGAAATACAACAAAATACAATCATAAGTAAAATAATAGCCATAACTCTTCCACAATGTAAATACAAAGTAAAAAATCTTCTCTTTCTCCCTCTCCCCTTCATTCCTTTCATTCTTCCCCTCTGTATCTCTCTTTCTTCATCTCCCTCTCCCTCCCCGTTCTCCCTTTTCCTCTTCTTACTCCCTCCCCCTCCCCCTTCCCCCCCTTTCTTCTTTCTCCCCTCTCCCTTCCCCATCTCCACCTCTTCTCCCCTACCCCCCCCCTTTACTTCTCTTTCTCTCTCTTTAAATCCTTCTCCTCTCTCTCCCTCTCTCCCTCTCCCTCTCATAATCCTTTTCTCCTTCTCCCTCTTTCCCTCCCCTCCTTTTCCCCTCCTCTCTCCCTATCCCTCCCCCTCTCTCCCCTCTTCCCTCCCCTCCCTTTCCCCTCTCCCTCTCCCTCCCCCTTTCCCTCCTCTTCTCCCTCTCCCTCCCCTTTTCCCTCTCCCTCCCTCCCTTTCTCCCTCTCCCTCCCCTTCTCCCTCTCCCCAACCTCAAGTCAACCGCCTTGAGTCCTCGCGGCGAAGGGAAAACAGCGCCAATTGTGTCGGAGTTGGCCGGAATTTTGTCCCCGGGATGATGGCTTAGGTGGAAGGAGGTTGGGGGGAGGAGGGGGAGTGGAGGAGATGTGAGAAGGGGCGGTTGAAAAAAGGGAGGGGGAGGAGGGAGAGTGGGAGGAACAGTGAAACAAAGGGGGGTGAGGAGTGAAAAAATGGGGGGGGTGAATGAGAAAGAAAAGGGAAATGAAGAGAAGAAAAGATAAACCAAACACAAGTTGCACAAACAAATAACACTATATATAAAAACGAGATTACTTCACCCCCACCCTAACCTCACTCTCTCTCTCTCTCTCTCTCACACCCTCTCTCTCTCTTTCTCTGTTTCTCTCACTCTCTCTTTTTCTCTCACCTTCTCTGTTTCTCACTCTCTCTGTTTCTCTCACTTTTCTATCTCACCATCTCTGTTCTCTCTCTCACTCTCAACTCACTCACTCACTCACTCACTCACTCACTCACTCACTCACTCACTCACTCTCTCTCTCTCACCTCCCTCCCCTCCTCCCCCCCTCTCCTTTTTTTCTCCTTTTTTTCTCTCTTTTTGAACATCAATCTTCCTTACCTTCAGCCTCGCCGACGAGGGGCGTCACGGCACCGAAGAACCTCTTGTCGAGAACCTGCAGCAGCTGGAGCGCCGTCTCGTGGATGGAGGCGCGAGGGCAGCCCGTGTGGAGGAGAGTCACGTTCATGATGGCGGTGTAGTGGTCGCACGGGTACTCTCTGTCGGGGGAAGCGAGACAGTGGGGAGCTGGTTGGAATGGCGGTTGGAATGATGGGAATGGTTGTTGGGAATGGTGGTTGGAATGTCGGTTGGAATGATAGGAATGGTTGTTGGGAAGGGTGGTTGGGAATGATAGGAATGGTGGTGGGAATGGTGGATGGGAATGGTGGTTGGGAATGATAGGAATGGTTTGGTTGGGAATGATAGGAATGGCGTGGTGGGCAATGATGGAATGGTGAATATGGAATGGTGGTGGTGAATGATAGGAATGGTGGATGGGAATGTGGATGGGAATTGATTGAGGGAATGACGTGAGGGTTGGGTAATGCGTGGTTAAATGATAGGAATGGTGGGTTGGGATGATAGGAGGTGGTTGGAATGATAGGAATGGTGGTTGGAATGATAGGAATGGTGGTTGGAATGATAGGAATGGTGGTGGGAATGATAGGAATGGTGGATTGGGAATGATAGGAATCGGTGCGATGGGAATGGGAATGTAGGTTGGTGGATTGGGAATGATAGGAATTGGTGGTGGATGGGGAATGATAGGAATGGTGGTCGGGTTGGAATGGGGAATGGTGGTGGGGCAATGATAGGATGGTGGTGGTGGGAATGATAGGGAATGGTGGTGGGAATGATAGGAATGGTGGTTGGGAATGATAGGAATGGTGGTTGGGAATGATAGGAATGGTGGTTGGGAATGATAGGAATGGTGGTTGGAATGATAGGAATGGTGGATGGGAATGATAGGAATGGTGGGGATGGGAATGATAGGAATGGTGGATGGGATGATATAGGAAGGTGGTCGGGAATGATAGGAATGATGAGGAATGGTGGTTGGGAATGATAGGAATGGTGGGTGAGTTGGGAAATGATAGCGTGAATTGGTGGGTTGGGAATTGAATAGGGAATGGTGCGTATTGGGAATGATTAGGATGGTTGGGAATGGGATAGCGAATGGTGGATGGCGAGAATGATAGGAATGGTGATGGGGAATGATTAGGAATGATTAGGAATGGTGGTTGCGGAATGATAGGAATGGTGGGTTGGGATTGTGTGCGATGCAGGACAATGGTGGTTGGGAATGATAGGAATGGTGGTTGCTTGGGAATGGTGGTGGTTGGAATGATAGGAATGGTGGTTGGGAATGATAGGAATGGTGGTTGGGAGATGCTGCTGGTTGGAATGATAGGAATGGTTGGTGATTGGGAAATGATAGGAATGAATGATGGGTTAATGGGAAAATGGTGGTTGGAATTGATAGAATGGTGGTTGCGAATGAATAGGAAAATGGTTGGGGAATGGATAGGAATGGTGGTGGTGAATGATAGGAATGGTGGTTTTGGAATGGTTGGTCTTGGAATGATAGGAATGGTGGATGGGAATGATAGGAATGGTGGTTGGGAATGGTGGTTGGAATGATAGGAATGGTGGTTGGGGAATGATAGGAATGGTGGATGGGAATGATAGGAATGGTGGTGGGAATGATAGGAATGGTGGTTTTGGAATGATAGGATGGTGAATGGGTGGTGGTGGAATGAATAGGAAATGATGGTGGTTGGGAATGATAGGAATGGTGGTTGGGAATGATAGGAATGGTGGTTGGGAATGATAGGAATGGTGGTCGGGAATGATAGGAATGGTGGTTGGGAATGATAGGAATGGTGGTTGGGAATGATAGGAATGAATGAAATGACGGTTGGGATGGTGGTTGGAATGACGGTTGGAATGATAGGAATAGTTGTTAGAATGGTGGTTGGAATGGCGATAGGAAGGGCGGATGGCGATAACGAAGATGACAATGATAAAAATGAAGAAATGCAGCAATAACAAATCAGTAATAACAATCATACCAATAATAAACCTCTATCTAATGATAAATGCAAAGATAGACAGATAAATACACACAAGACCCTACTAATGATGTCAACAATGCAAGAACAGTAACAATAAGACTAATACGAATGAAGACTTTTTTTTCCAAAATATGAGAAAAAAAAACTGAACTCGATCTCCACCCTTGTTTCCTCGTTACAGCCGCGGAGATCAAAATACGGCGGCGACATATTTTGTTTCTTCTTTCCCCTTATGCCTCCATTCTTCCCCTTCTTTCTCATTTCTTTATTCGCTATTTATCTTTCCGTCTCTCTTCCTCTCTCCAACTCCCCTTCCCTCCCCTCCCCACCCTCTCCTTTTCTCTGTCTCCCCCTCCCCCTTCCCGAACCCCATTCCTTTCCTTCTATCTCCTTCCTCCCTTCCTATTCCATTCTTTTCCTTCACTTTTCTTTCCATTCCTTTCCTTCCATTTCCGTCTCCCTCCACCATATTCCTCCCTTTCTCTTCCCTTCCCATCCCTCTCCTCCTCATTTTTCTCTTCTCCCTCTCTCCCTCTCATTCCTCCCTTACCATTCTCATTCCTCCCTTCCATTTCTCTTCTCTCCCCTCCCCCTCTCAGTCCTCCCTACCCCTTTTCTTCCCTCTCCCTCTCCCCTTCCCTCTCGAAACTCCCCTCATTTCTCTTTTCCTTTTCTCTTCTCCCCCTCTTCCTCTCATTCCTCCCTTCCTTTTCTCTTCTCCCCCCTCTCCCTCTCAGTCTCCCTACACCTTCTCTCCCTTCCTTCTCGAAACTCCCCTCATTTCTCTTTTCCTCTTCTCTTCTCCCTCTTCCTCTCATTCCTCCTTCCTTTTCTCTTCTCACCCTCTCCCTCTCCCCTTCCTCTCTCCCTCTCTTCCCTTCCCTCTCTCCCTCTCTCTCCCCTCCTCTCCCTTCTCTCCTTTCCCTCTCTCAACTATCCGGATACCTGCTCCTTGACGCCTCATACCAGCTAATACCAATAACCCCAATGGCGCTCTGTGGCTCGATCCATTGTTCCCAACTTTCGCAACAGAGAATGTTTCCTTCCTCTTCCTCCCTTTCCTGTTCCTCCCCTCCCCCCTTTAATCCTATTCCCCTCCCACTTTCCTTCCTCTTTCCTCCTCCTCCTCTTCCCTCCCGCTTTTCCTCTCTCCTCCCCTCCTCCCTTTCCTTCTCCTCCTCTTTCTCCACCTTTCTCCTCTTCCTCCCTCCTCCCTTTCCTTCTCCTACCCCCTACCCCCCTTTCCTCCCTAACCTTCCCATCCCTTCTCCTTCCCCCCCCCTTCCCAGTGACACCAGTCTTACGCCCTCCCTCCCTCTTCGTTCCTCCCCTCTCAGTCCTTCTCCCTCCTTATCCCAGCCTAATCTCTCTCTCTCTCCTCTCCCTCTTCCCCCTCTCCCCTCTCTTCCTCCCTCTCCTCTCCCCTCCTCCCTCCCTCTCCTCTCCTCCCTCCCTCCCTCCCCCTCTCTCTCCCTCCCCCTCTCCCTCCCTCCCTCCCTCTCCCTCCCCCTCTTCTCTCCCTCCCTCCCTCTCCCTCTCTCTCCTCCCTCCCTCCTCCCCCTCTCTCTCCCTCCCTCCTCCCTCCCTCTCCCTCCTCCCTCCTCCCTCCCCCTCTCTCTCTCCTCCTCCCCTCCTCCCTCCCTCCCTCCCTCTCTCCTCTCCCTCCTCCCTCCTCCTCTCTCTCCTCTCCTCCCTCCCTCCCCTCTCTCTCCCTCCTCCCTCTCTCTCTCCTCCCTCCCTCCTCTCTCTCCTCTCTCCTCCCTCCCTCCCTCTCCCTCTCTCCCTCCCCCTCTCCCCCCCCTCTCTCTCCCTCCCCTCTCTTCCTCCCTCTCTCCCTCTCTCTCCTCCTCCTCCCTCCCCCTCTCTCTCCTCCTCCTCCCTCCTCTCCTCTCTCCTCCTCTCTCCTCTCTCTCCCTCCCTCCCTCCCTCCCCTTCTCTCCCTCCTCCCTCCCTCCCCCTCTCTCTCCCTCCCTCCCTCCTCCCCCTCTTCTCCCCTCTCTCCCTCCCCTCTCATCTCTCTCCCTCCCCCTCCTCCCCCTCTCCCTCCTCTCCTCCCTCCCCTCCTCTCTTCCTCTCTCCTCTCCCTCCCTCCCTCCCCTCTCTCCTCCTCCCTCCTCCCCTCTCTCTCCCTCCCCTCCCTCCTCTCCTCTCCCTCTCTCCTCCTCCCCCTCTCCCCCCCTCCCTCCCTCCCCCCTCCTCCCCTCTCCCTCCCCTCCCTCTCCCCCCTTCCCTCTCTCCCTCCCTCCCTCCCTCCCTCCCTCCCCCCTCTCTCTCCTCCCTCCCTCCCTCCCTCCCTCCCCTCTCTCTCCTCTTCTCCCTCCCTGCCCTCCCCCTCTCCTCCCTCCCTCCCCTCTCTCTCCCTCCCTCCCTCCTCTCTCTCCTCCCTCCCCTTCTCTCCCTCCCTCTCTCTTCTCTCCCTCCCTCCTTCCCTCTCTCCTCTCCCTCCCTCTCCCTCTTTCCTCCCCTCTCTCTCTCCCTCCCTCTCTCTCTCTCTTCCTGGAATCCCTCCCTCCCCCCCTCTCTCTCTCAAAAATCTGACAACAATGCAGAAACGGGAGATACTTCGATTAGTTCTAATAACTAATGTCTGTCGAATTCCATTAGTCTCCCATCGCGTTCCATTAGTTTCCTTTGAATAACAGTCATTACAAGATATGAATTGGAGAATTAGCCGCGCTTTCAATTAGAGGATAAATAAAACGGCGCGAAGAAGAAGGGGAGGAGGAGGAGAGAGGAAGAGGGAGAGGGAGAGTGGGAGAGGGAGAGGGAGAGGGGGAGAGGGATGAGAGGGAATGGGGTGAACAGGGATGAGAGGGGAGGGGTGAGTGAGGGAGAGAGAGAGAGAGAGAGAGAGAGAGAGAGAGAGAGAGAGAGAGAGAGAGAGAGAGAGGAGAGAGAGATTATTGGTATCGCCCTGAATAGGTATCGTCCCTGAGTTGGTATCGCCCTGACTTGGTATCGCCTGAGTAGGTATTGCCTGAGTTGGTATCGCCCTGAGTTGGTATTGCCCTGCTTGGTATCGCCCTGACTTGGTATCGCCCTCAGATCGCCCTGACTTGGTATCGCCCCTGATTGGTATCGCCCTGACCAGTTAGTATCGCCCTGAGTTGGTATCGCCCTGACTTGGTATCGCCCTGAGTTGG